TACTATACCAATTACGGTAATATTACATTGCGTGTGACAGTCTAATGTTTAGAATGTCAAAATATGTTTTTTTTTTTAATTTGAACGTTTTACTCAGACGATCGATGAAATAAAACAGTGTAGTGACGTGCCTAGTAACCTGCTGAATAACGAGATAATTCCGACGTCAAATTCTATTTTGTCCAGAGACAGTGTACAAACGTGCGCCGGTGTCGGTGACGATTACGGTGACCAGCTACACCAGAACGAACATATTTCGCATCTAACTCAACCCCAAGCAACAACAATTGATACTATGTGTTCATTATGGTCCATTCTTCCTCGACAAACAAGTACATAAGTGACAATTTAGTCAAAGACGAGAAAACTGCACAAGAAATTTGCCTTATTTACACGCATCGGCAATGCTAGCTGCCATGCGACTTCCCTTTCTGACGTCACAAGGGGAATTTCTGTATGCAAATGAGAAGCTAATGAGGAGCCTCGTTTTAAAATACACAAAAATAAAGTTGCCGTAGACTGAGTTTAAAACACATTTTTTCACTTAAAAAAAATAATTCATGCTTAGAAACATAAAAATTAATATTTATGTATCAATGGATAATTTTAGGCGTGAAAATAGCAACCATTTCACAGGCACTTTAACTTTACATTTCTTTTTTAAGAAAAATACAATCATAATAATTTAGCATTTAAAATAAATAATTTTAATCTTTTCTAACTTATTGTTCATGGTCCAATACACCTCACTTTTAAAGTGTGTTGTTTCTTCTCTAGAATATAATAAAATCTCTCAAAAACATAATCTTTATCAATGGACGACTACAGATCAAAATGATATCAGCGGTTTGAACCACAGTCACCTGCCATTTGTATTGCTGTACATTTCCGGATTTCACAAAACAAACCTAAAATTTTTCACCAGTGAAGTATTAAATTCGAGGTACACTTCTGACAAAAAATTAAACAAAGTCATCAAAACCTGTTTCATAGTTGTTTTTTCAGGCATTTTTCCATAAACATCAATTAGCAATGAAGAGGGAACAGCTACACTAAATCTCATTGTATAATAAAGTCGCCTTCCTATTCAGCCAATGCGGTTGTATCATGAAAAGGTGAGCAGTGCTTTCAATTTTGTGAAATCCGAAAATGGTGAAAATCGGATTTTAGAACTTTCCCTTACATGTACATGGATACACATGGCAGCTAACTGGTTTGAACAGCATTCATGTCCCCCAATGACACCACGAAAGCACTTCATTGCCAAAGAGCTTGATTTTTTGGAAAGGTGTATAAACAGACGCATTATGAGAATAAGAAACATACATGTCAACATATAAACCAAATATTGTCAGGTGAATATTCCCACTTTAGTATATAGAGTTGACTCGGTGGACACCAGTACAAGGCTTGTATAGTGTTAATTCCTGTTAATGATTTGGCAAAATTTCTGAGAGCAATGAGAGGTTGAGACCAGAAAAAACAAAGATAACATGTTTAATTAAGAATGTTTTCAGGAAATGGCATGGGTAGACACTGAAAGGATACAGCTTCCTGTCTTGCTCTGGCAATAGCCATGTTTTCCATCAATCTTCTCTGTAGAGTTAAATTCTGAAGACATGAAGTATAGTATGCATCATGATAATAAGTGGTTAATTATTATACATCTTTTCCTTCCAAGGATACATCATGGGAATGCCGAAATACAAAAAGTTTAGAACAGAATCACCAAAACTTCTTTGTGTGGAGTCCAGTCAAACCCTGAGGGCTGCCATGATTGTTTTTTATTATTAGAGGACGCTCGTACACACACAATCGCTCCATATTTGGATTTCACATTTCCTAATATGTTAGAACGAAAATACCCAGTGCAATACCGCAAAATTATGGCACGCTGTAACTTATGGCTTTACAGTGACAGATGTATAAAAATAACAAATGATCACAGCTAAAATTGTAACATAGGTTACACACATTAAAGTACCACAGTTAATTTCATGTATATGTCACAAATATTGGATAGTTATATTGAACGCTATTGGTAAATGATCAAGCTCAGTGGTAAAAATGATCATTGTTAGTATTAGTAAATTGGTTTTGCCTGGTAATGGTAAAATAATTGTACCTCGTAATGAAAATAAAGATGTTCTGCTCAATAAATGGTAAATCTGTCAAACCTACCGGTACTAATGGTATAAAATGGTTCTGCATGGTAAAATGGTTCTGCCTAGTAATCGCAAAGTGTTTCTGCCAAGCAATGATAAAGTAGTTCTGCCTAGTAATGGTAAAGCATTCTGCCTAGTAATGGTAAAGTAGTTCTGCCTAGTAATGATAAAATGTTTTTGCCTTGCAATGATAGGTAGTTCTGCCTAGTAATGGTAAAGCATTTCTGCCCAGAATGGTAAAGTGGTTCTGCCTAGTAATGGTAAAGTAGTTCTGACGAGTAATGATAAAAAGTTTTTTCCTTGCAATGATAAAGTAGTTCTGCCCAGAATGGTAAAGTGGTTCTGCCTAGTAATAGTAAAGTGGTTCTGCCTAGTAATGGTAAAGCGTTTCTGCCTTGCAATGAATGCCTAGTGAAGTAGTGCTGCCAAGCTATGGTTAAGTAAATTGTGTACATTATATTTGGCCACGGCACCTATACATGTACAATATTGTTTGTACTTTAGTTGTAGTTCAGTCTCTCACAACTGTGACAGACAACTGATTTTTAATTTCTTTTTATTTATCTGAAATGTTCTTGATCTTATTTTGTTGTAAGAATGAACTGAACATGAGTATGTCTGGTTGTCTAATTCAAACGCAATTAAGTCTGGCTTTGCAACTTTGTTAATATTGGTGTATAGATTCTACGGGCAACTTCATTATGTGTAGGAGCATTTGAGTTTAATATATGTACCTACAAGTTTGATAAGAACTACCACAAGTGCATCAATATTTACCCAAAAAATATACGAACAATTGTGGCAGCAAACTTAGATACAAGTCTGGACACAGACCTGCATTTGCAGACATATTAACATGTGTATGATATGGGGAAGGGACTGAATTTGTTTGGACACAGACCTGCATTTACAGACATATTAACATGTGTATGATATGGGGAAGGGATTGAATTTGTTTACTGACCACTGTTGTTTTATCTTGTGATGACTTTATGTATAATCTATTCATCCTGGCTTTGTATGCTGCAATCAACTGATGATTTTCAAAGTAGGCCTTCTCAAGTGGACTCATAGTTTTCATCCTTGTTGAGAGAGAGAAAGAAAAAGAGAGATTGATTGAATGTCATTTTACATTCCATGAAACATAATTCTATGCAATAAAGAATATATGTATCATACATAACATAACACAAATGTCCAATACATTAGATACAAGTTTATTATAAGAATAACATGATATTGTGTACATTGGTTTATATCCATGATAATCATTTGCATAATGCAATCACTTTTCTATTTAGCCAATGAGGTTTTATCATGAAAATGTGAGTGGTGCTTTCGATTTTGTGCAATCAGAAATCATTATAGGGGCCCAACATTACTCTATAATTTGGGATAATCAATAATCATATACAATGAATTCAATTGAAGGTGAATGATATACTCAATTGTTAAGCAAATAAGTTGGAATGTTATTATCCTGGGGAGAGCCCTGCAGTGAACTACAAAATCACATCTTGACTGGTATTTCTAAATGTTAACTTAAATTAAATAATTATTACCTTTCTCTCAAAGGAACAACCACAGGGTCAGTTGATCTTCTATTTGCATTCTGCTGAGCTTGTAAAGAAGTGTGATATGACAACATAACATTTCCACTGATACCACCAATTGAGGAACTCAGTGATTGGCCCTGTGCTGCATTTATTGATGGTGCCTCACTATGTTGGTCAACATTCATTGGCATAAATGGCAAGCTTTGAGTGACTGTCTCTGAACCCGGAACATTGGGAAGCATTGAAATTAAATCAAGTGTATTTGTCTCTTGATAATCAGGCGGGGAGTCTTGGTCAACACCTTTGAGTTCTTGTGGCTGAGAAGGAGGTACTGATGACCCTAAGAAGTGTAAAACAAAATAGTGGAATTACAAATCACAACACAGAAAACAATTTAACAGCAAATACTTGGAGCAATACAACTTCTGACTACTATTCATATAATAAACATATTATTACATTTGTTCCATTAGTGGCATACTTATGTAAATGACAGGGGTGTGTCTACAGTCAAAATGTCATATTTTATTAATCCATTACACAGCCAGTGCAATTTTTTGATTTATGTGTGCCAGGGTTATCGCCAGGACATTGAAAGTACCTGTCTAAAAACTTTATTGAAATAAAAAATAGCAGTTGCTGGTCTGTATCCATACACTTAGACTGTTTTCGTGATTATTTATGGTTATTTTGTAATTTATAGGTAATTTTCAATGAAAATTGGACAGGTTTGTGAAGATTTTGTCTGTCTAATGAAATTTTTAATCTGTCTAAAATGTGGACTGCCTGTCTAAAATAACAGTCAGACAGGTGGTTGGCTAAATGCCTGATGTGTAATAGTATTCTAAATCAGCACAGCAACCAGCTGATTTAACAAATTATGTTCAATTTTGAAATTGTATTCATAAATGGAGACAGTATTCATATGTACCATACTCAATACTCAAAGCACATGGCAAGAATAGCTGTGTTCAAACCAAAGTTTGGAGTTACAGAGTTGGGGTTCTGCAAGAAGGACGGTTTCACACTTGCCTGATGGATGTAAAGGATAAGTTGACTGCTGATCTCTGGAAGACTGGGATGATGCTGCGGCTGCGGCTGCTGATGATGATAATGAAGGTAGTGGTGTATAAGGTGGAGGATTTGTTTCACCACAGTTTAATGGAGGTGATCTATCTTCCTCGTTTGGTGTCTGGTCTTGACCATTTGATGATCCATCCACTATACAAAAATAAATAGAATCACAAAATTTAAACAATACTAAGACTAATAAGAACATTTTGGATAATACCTAGCCATGAGCACAATGCAGTAAATACTGAGTTTTTTCATTTATATAAATCAAGACTTTTTAAAGCTAAATTTTGATTACTGCCAGGACTTGAATAAAAAATAAAGAACAATACCTATTTTATCTGCCACTGATTTCACTCTTTCGATACACTGTTCTGCCAACTTAAACATTCTCTGAGTGCTTGCACTGCTGAGATTCTCACAATCTGTAAAAAAAAAATCCCCAACTCAGTTATTTGCAACATACTGTAAATGCAAGGGTTTTTTAAGGCAGTTTGCTAACATCGAAATTGATCATTGTAAATCAGTCAAAAACTGTTGTGTAATGAATTTTTTAGGGAGAAAGAAGGAAGTGTTTTCAAGAAAACATGCAAAATAATCTAAAAAGTGGCCATTTTGGAAAATTTTCCATAGAATTCCATGCAAACACATTATTCCTTGGACAACTTACCGGTATACTAACATTAAAAATTTCCCATTTTTTTGTGACAGTCATATGTAGCCCTCATAGGTCACCAAACAACATTTTCAGATACGGTAATTTTTTAAGGTTGTTTTGTGGAAAAATTAAGTGACTATATATTTTTATTTCAAATTTCTTAACATTACAGTAACCCTACCCCTCTTGCTCGATTTCATGGATTTCTGAGTATTTTTTTTAAAGTTAGCAAACTACATGTATCTTTATTTTCCTATACTCCATAATTCCTTAAATGTCAAGTCAACTATTGAAGCCTGTCACATACAATAAAACACATGTTTCCCATTACTGCATTACATTTGTACTTCATTATTTCACACATAACAAAAATCAAACTGTTTGAGAAGATATGAAATGCAGTAGGATACGAAACTCAGGATTTTTATGATGGTGACATAATTATTATCAATTACTCAAGAGAACCAAAATATGCATGCAGAGGAAACTATTCAAGGCCAAGATCATAGATGTTTTGACTTAATAAACCTGACCTCTATACTTACCATTGTTTTGGGCATCCTCACTTAATGACTGAGAAATTGTTTTAATGCAAGCTAGATACTGACAATAGGCTTCCTAAAAAAAAAGAGAATTTTTTTCTAATTTAACTAATTACTATCACCGTTAATGATCATTTATAAATAGCCTAAATCAGTATACCATATTTTTGATTGATGTGCACCACCAACAACAAAACAAGTATACCAGCAACTCATGAGATTGAGACAGCAGTATTGCAAATCAACTTATACATGTAAAATTACTTTGGAAGACCTCAACTCATCTGTGAACAGCTCTAATTCATGAAAATCGCACTAACATATAAGATATCTCTGTGAGACGATAGACAACGATATGTTAATAATGTATTCAATCAATAGTGAAAAACTAAGAGAAACGAGCCCATGAATGACTGGTCATAAAATTTACAGGTACAAGTACCATTTAGTCATGAATCAATAAACTTGAAACGTGTATACCGGTATATGATGCCGATGCAGTGGAAGTAAAATGGTTGATTGGTTGATGCTAATTTACTAACTCAGAGGTAATTTCATTGAACTAGATCCCCTATTACTGTAAAATACTTTATTTTCGCTGAAGGAATGATTTGGTGAAAATAAAAACCAGCAAATATACTTTTTTTACCCATACATGTATATTACATTCAACTCATAAAAATCAGTAACAAAAAATCCCATAGAAATCGCCAAAAAATGTTTTTCAACCCAAATTAATTCCACCTAAAATAAATTATTTTACAGTAGGCAGATATAAGTGATAGATTGACCAGCAAAAGCGTAGGTGTCACAAAACGCTTCTACAATCAGGGTTTGCCCTAGTGTCTCGGCAAGACGAGTCCCACTTAAAAAAATAAAATATGGGGTTAACACATTCCCTGTACAATACATCTTATTTTAATCTGATTGCTGTTATACTAGGTTCAGTTACTTTCATATACTTGCAGCATATTCAACAACAGTGGATAATATGAGGTTATTACGAGGATACCTCAAAGTATGCACAAAGGCAGTACAGCAGTGCATACTTTGAGGTATCCTCTTAATAACCTTAATATTATACATCTTTTCCTTACAAGGATACATCATGGGAATGCCGAAATACAAAAACTTCAGAACAGAATCAACAAACTTCTTTGTGTGGAGTCTGATCAAACCCTGGTGGCAGCCATGTTTATTTTTATTATTAAGCGCATAATCATTCCATATTTGGAATTCGCATTTCCTAATATGGTAGAATTAAAATACCCTGTGAAATAATGCGAAATTATAGCACGCTGTAACTTATGGCATTACAGTGACAGATGTATAATAAGGTTTAACAGGATTTCTCTTCAGACACAACAATCTAATGTGACAATAATGTGTAATAATAGCAATATGCCAAGCTGAGAGTGCTGACTATTTCTGATATTTCACAAATACCGGTATATCTGCATGTTAAAAATAGTGAGTAATAGTGTCTTGCTTATCTGGGCAAGTAAACCCCATTATGACACTGCTTACAAAAATACAGAGCCAGAATCACAGTTTGCATGTTTTCAATTACCGGTAGTTCTTCTTTTACAACTAGTTTCTGTAAAAAAAATGCATTAAAACGACACAAAATGAAATCTTTGAATGAAATACAAACCTAATACTGGTACATCTGTTTTATTTATTTTACATGTTTATAAATTTTTATATGTACAGTACTGATTTTGTGGAAATGTTGAACATAACCCCCATATGTAAGCGCATGCCAATCTGGTTAAAAAATAGATTTTTACCTCTTTTACTTAGCAAGCCTTGAACATGGTTGGTTCTGGTGTGAATGCTCAAAATGTGGACTTTTTAGGAAGGTACAAGACAATGGATAATTATCCCTGAATTTAAAACTTGTTAATTATTAAAAAGAATTTTAAAGAAAATATGTTCAAACCAATTTTCTCATAAGGTGTAACCTTTCATACCACAATTATTAATCCTCAACCTGCCCCCTTTCAAATTGAAATGGTCCATCCCTTTCAATGATTGCTAAATAAAAATATATTGATTAATACCATATGATACACTTCAAGTTTCACTCAATATATAGAGAATAAACTACTTTGCGTAGAATAAAACAACCTGTAGTACTAAAACGACCACTCAGCTAGAACCCCCGCACACAAAGCTTAGACTGCCTGAGTCAGGACATGGTTATATACCCTATATATAAAATATGTTTTTGAAATTCAGTCCCTCACCCTCTTGGCTATTATTGCCGATTTTTCAATGCCGGAGTGATTTACATCATCAATGTTGGTTCCCTGAGTGTTTCTAGTAAATAACCTATCTAACCACTGGACTAAACTAATGATATTATCAAAAAATCATAGGAGATTTGGCAAAAATCAGTCATTTTTGGCATCTGCGTATTTTCGCTCTAAAACGCAAGGACGATAAGACTCGATTTTCAAGGACGCAGGTTGTTTGGATCAGACTGTTTCTTTTGTTTCGACTTCGTTGTTTGTCTAGAAACATAACAACATTGTTTTGCGGCTCTCTTGGTACGGCCAACTCATTTTTAGGTTACTTTTTTTTTACTATTCTGAAATTTACTTGGTCACATTTTGTATATACCAGTCAGACACTGACAGTAAGTAAATAAGTGGGCCGGGACATAGTCAACATGGTACTCTGAAGGGTCCCGAGATACAGTCATTGTACAAAATTAATGAATGAAATTTACATTACAATCTCATGCTTCTGAACAATCAGATATTTATGCTGGAGAACTAAGTATACAAGTACTGTGGAACTCATGGCAAATGTAAATACAAAATAAATGTCAGTGAATACAATATTTATAAATTTTTCGAAGCCTCCATGGACAAGCTGACAACCCCTAATATTGCAAAACTGTCAGTTGTGAACTGAAGGTTAAATCTCATTAGGATTTCCACATGAAAATACACAGATTGAAAAAAAAGCATTGTTAAGACAAGGAAAAATAACGCCTTTTTGTCAAGACTATATACTAAATTTTTTGGACATTTTTTTCGAGTGTACATATATGCAGTAAAATATGTATAGCCATCAAAATTATCAAAACTTCAAGTTCAAGTGTAATCATGGCACAGATCTAGAAGCAGTACCTACACACGAATTGGTGACATCATAAAATACATGACCTTCAATCGGGGTCGTTTCCTCGGTATATACGAATTGGTATATACAAATTACAATAAAGATACTTAAGACATTACACATAAAGTAAAACAAATCACGTGACAATATAATGATAATAACGGTAATAAATCCTAGCTTAACAGTTGAACAGAACGCTCATATAGTCAGTCGGGTGACGCCGAGGGTCACGAACTGTGTTGCAAAATGGCCGTGTGGTTGAAACTGGGTCATGGCGTGACGGGTGAGGAAGACATCATTAAACACTCAAAATCACAATAAAACGAGGAAGTGGTTGCATATTACGACGTAGCTAACATGGGAAATAAAAAAACGCCCAATACAAACAACATGGGTTCGAATCACACTAGATACACACTCACCAGAACCGAAGCAATCAGAAACCAGCAATCGTTTTGGCTTTTCCGTTCAACTCATCGAAACACTGGAGTAGTTAGAAAAATGAACACCACTTAACGACCAACGTCGTGGCGTGGTACACAAGCAGTGCCATCAAAATAAAACAAAATTAGCTTGAAAAGACAGTGGGTTCGAGT